AGTGTAATATATGGAGTTACGGGGTCTCAAAACATTTGCTGAAATGGCGCAATTATATGATAAAACTAGAGTGGATTTATTCTGTCCAACGCTGATAGTTTACACACAGCACTGCAGAGTATAAACAGCGTTTTCGAAAAAAAAAATCCGTTTTCTGTGGAGGGGGGGGGGGGGGGGGGGGAAAAGATTTGTTCCGCTTAAACTAATTTTCTCGTAAAACGTGTGCAGATACGGCGGTAATATTCATAATAAGGGAGGCTAACTGTTCTTCATCTTATTGATGTCTCGTATCTGCCACTGCACCGGTGTATTGAACGTAAAACTATACCATACCGCTGTTATATACAATTAACGGAAGTTTTGTGAAAGCGATCCCACTTATGACTCATTTTTAATTCAACAGCTGAGAATTAATTTACGGGCTGCACTCTTCAAGTTTCAACCGGAATAAAATATTTTTCCTCGGGTGCAAAAAATGAGGTCGTAATCCGACATACTATAGAACGAACTGTTGTTTTAGTTTTACTTTTATGTTATGAAAATCAGCAATGGTTGATGTAAACAGAACGTCCAGATGTTAGTCTGCGTCTTAAAACATGCAGCGTCACGAAAAATGGTGCAAGTTTAACTTTGGGCAAAGATCGTCAAAATAAACTTATTCATCTTCTTGTCCTATTTTAAGTCATAATTGTCAGTCTTTTAAAATTTGCTGGGAATTTGATGCTACGAACTAAAATACTCGCCCAAAAACCAATGCTTAATCTTATAAGCATCAAAAGCTATCCGCGTCAAAAGAAATAAATATATGTTTTTATCAATGTTATTAACAAGCTGCATCTATGACAAATAGAATTTTTTTCTATAGGAACAAAACTTGTTTTTACATAAAAATCAGTGATTTGAGCTTCAAAACGGGTTCAGTCTATTTAAAAGACAAATTGTGTCTTATACTGTCACTGTACAATAGACAACGAAAAACCTATTTTACCAACCTATGTTACCAGACAAAACAAACTTGAAAACGACTTACTTGTGGCACTCCGTTAGTCAAACCCACGACCAAGGCAACGACTGCTAAAACACCAGCACTTGTTAACACCATCATGAACGGATTAAAACTTCTACTGTTAAGACAGGTGAATACGTAGTTCACTGTTTGAAGTATCGGCGGCCTCAAGTATCCTGACTCTCCCCACCTGATGCTCAGTTCTTCGAAATCCAAATGTTTACATGGTTTATATATATATATACACCCCACTTCCCGGAAGGCAGCAGGTCGTATGATCCGTTAATCGGGGGCTCGGTGTTACTATTATATCAGTGGACGAAAATTGCTTCGTCACGGCGAGTGAGTATCCCGAGCCTGTCGGCGATTATTTTTAACCGCAGCCGTGGATATTTTTTATTGCTGTGCGTTGTCGGGAATATGGACCAAAGCCACTAAAGATAGGAGATTGTAGTGAGTTTATTATTCCCGCGGTTTACCTAATTGTCTGTCCTTTGTGTCGTGATTGTAAAGGCAGTGCCGCGTTTCTTGTCCTATTTATTTCGATTTATCTAGCAACTCACTTAACCCGTTTTTTGTCATTCTGTTGGGATAATCATAAATTGTTCGGTCATCCCTCCCCCCAAAAAATGATAATAAATAAACATGCGTAGGCCTATATGTATTTGGAATAAATCAACGCCTGCCCAGAAAGTAACTAATCCAACTGACTGAAAGTAGAGTAAATTGCAGGACCATGATCGTCGATGCCTACACCAGGTCTGACACTTGAAGAGAAAGAGAGAAATATGTAAATAATAATAATAATAACAACAGATAAAAGTAAGAAAAAAGTTTAAATCTTATGTCGCTAGTTATGGAAACGGTGGATCGGTGTGCTGTTTCAACATCAATTTAAACTGTGTTTTAAGAAACAACCATCTGTCCCCATTGTAAATAATGACAAAGACCCACAAGGGAGAAAGAGGATAGTTACAAGTTACAACAATAACATCAGTAGGCTTCCGTAAGTTCCGTTAAATACAGGGAGGTGTACATTCTTTGTCACATCCGGGTACTGCACTGACTTAGTACGCGTGTACTTTATGAATGAACCTAATAACGTCCCACTGCTCTCTCCTCCGTGTGTCGGATAAAACAGGATAATGTTCAGATATGGACATGATAAACAAGCGTCCACAATAAGGATAAGCCTTAATCATAACATGCTATAGGTAATCGAAAGAAAGTTAAAATGAGTGACTGAAAAAGAGGAAATCATAAATAAAAAATAATAAATATATCTAAATCGAAGGATGTTAAAAAAATACTGTAAAGTTGATAGCTAATATGTGCATCTTCACTGATTGCAAAAAATAAAAATAATGAGAAGAAGAAGAGGAATCAAATAAATTAAAGAATAGGGAGTAAATGAGTGCATGTTTAATTTCCTTCAGAGTCAACAAGGGAAGAAATTTCTTAAGTGTTAGGAAAAGTTTGAAAATATCAAAGTCACATATACTTTTATTTGATTTGTTAATTTCAAAATAGAATTGTTAATTACTGTTGCGTTTTCAGTCCCGTTTTCTAACACGTACCAACAGAGCTTCTGATATGATCCAAGTATGAATAATTCAAATTATTTTTAAGACATTTTATTGAAAATGAGAATCTTAGAAATTACATAATAAGGAAATACTGAATGGTTGAATGCAACATGAGAATGGAAATATTTTAGTAATCATTTAGACAATGGAAAGAAAACAAGTAAAAACGTGATCAGTGAGGAGAAATAGAGAATAAACATTATTGAATTTGTATGAAAAGTTAGTCGATGAATCAATGCTTGAAAGCTCCAGGTCGTCGTTATCGTCATTTTCATAGAAAGAAAAAAAATGAAAATAAAAGAAAGAAAGAAAAAAAACTGAAGAACTGATTAGGATACATATCAACATTTCACAGTCACAAAAAAAAAAAATAAAAAATAAATAAATAAATAAATAAATAAATAAATAAATAAAATAAAATAAAATAAATAAAAGCTTTGAACCGTATTATTATAGAGAACTGGTAGCCTACCCTTTCCTTTGACACATAGGCATACTAACCAAACTCAGATTACTCACGTTCACACGGCTATATGTTATTTCTGTGACATAATTACCTGGCCATCTATGAGCAATAGGATAATCATCCTTTTATTTGCTTGATGCTATCATAGGGAGTCATATACTTCTGGACACTGTCATTCATTTATTCATGCAAAATTGCATAGATAATTAATTAATAATTCATTTACGTTTACATCTTTGTGTGTGTGCATGTGTGTGTGCATGTGTGTGTGTGTGTGTGTGTGTGTGTGTGTGTGTGTGTGTGTGTGTGTGTGTGTGTGTGTGTGTTTATGGAAGGAGGGGATTATCAACGGCTGTCCATACCCTCGGCATTGCCGTCAGTCCTCAGTCCTGGTTTCTCTTCTCTATTGTCCTGTATGTGTCATAAGCTGGTAATACCACGAACAGCTCTTCGCTTCCCGGAACTCGCGGTGGCTGGAAGATCGTTTTAACCAAGGGCGTATATTGAATATATACGTCCTTGTTTTAATCAATGTGTAATAAGGACGGTTGTTTAAACCAGTGTGTTTAGATGATCGTTCAGGTCAATGTGTAGTATAGGATCTGTGCTTCAGGCCGATTGGACTGGATAGAGGTGGGTAGGCTATAAAGGAGGTAGAAATTAGATAAATAAATAAATAGAATTGAGTATTTGTCAGCCAAGGGGAAAATTGAACAGTTATATCAAAGTCCATTTAAATTAAGTTTATTTTCTATCGGTATCTATTTAAGCAATGAAACAATCTCCGTTAAACGTTTTGGTTGATTAAAAAAAAAAAAAAAAAAAAAAAAAAAAAAAAAAAAAAAAAAAAAAAAACGAATTATTATATGAACACTATTAGCAAAGAGATAAAGATATCAATGATTAAAATAAAAGCAACGAAAAGAGAACTATGTCGACCTTATCAGATTATTTTGTAACATTTTGCTAAGCTACAATTCATATAACTACATTATTACGACTCCATATATGACCGACATCTTTTAATCAAAATTATATAGTAATGCGTCAGAACATTTATTTAGCTTCCTATGTTAAGTCAACACAAGAACCCCAGAATGTACACAATGGGCATCCGCTTTCCTCCGGAAGATAAGAGAGGTGATGCACTGGGACAGCACGGTTTACCACGGTTGTGGAGCGTCTTGACCAGGTGCGTTTTGTATCGGTGGTTGTTCGTTTTCATTAACAACTATAAACATTCCTCTAGCCGTCTAGAGATTTGGGAGTCAGACGACAGGTTTGTGAGTTCAAATTTATTTCCCTAAAAGCTAACCTATAACCCCGTTTCTCTCTTTAACCATGGGTTCCACAATACCGCGTTAATCCAATACGAGACTGACAAAACCTGTTACTCCATTCATTTTCATAATCACCCAATATACTAGTACGGTACAGGTACCGGTACATGTCCGGTTGTACAGGGTACTTTGATCTGCATCCTTGGGTTTATTTCATTCAAAATTGGAATTTTTAGGGGGCTTCTATTAATGAGTATAATAGCAGTTTATAAGATAAAGCAATGAAAAAATAATGTACCTTCTATTTCTGTGAAAGTTTCTTATGAAAGTTTCTTTGAGACTAGGAATCCTTTAGGACACTATGGGCCAGTAGAAAACACGTCTTAAAGACCATGTAGGATTTCGGGTAAATTTCTCATACTGGTATAGGGTCCTATAGCTAGCTAGGACACTTACTAGTACCCGGTATCATAAACAGAAAGGAGCAGCCCAAAAGAAATTCGGGTCAAATATTCTTATAGGGTGTCCTATAGGACCCTACCAGTGTACGAAATTTCCTACATGTAAATCGCAATAATGATGATAATAATAATGATAATGAAAATAATGATAATGCAAATAATAATAATAATAATAATAATAATAATAATAATAATAATAATAATGCATGTAGAGATCATCTACCTCATGGCAGAGGCTCCTGTGTTGCTGTCGGCCGTGGTGTGCCAGTATAAACAGTGTGGCCAGGATACAGCAGGAGAAGATAGGACAGAGGTCAGGACCTTTGAACCAGAACAGACAGGTATGGAATAAAAAAATAGAATTATTCTTTGCTTAGAGACTGTAAATAACACGAGTAAAACATAACGTCTAGTTCACCATCTATTGACCTTGGACAAGGAAGCTATGGTTAACCCTCGGAAGCTGGAGGCGCTGGACGCAGTTGAGTGTGTGTGTGTGTGTGTGTGTGTGTGTGTGTGCGGGAGGTTGGGGGTGGATCCTGATGGAAACTGCTTTTCGACCTTTGCGGTGGTAGCACGATTCATCTATCGTAAGTATGTAGTATGTATTGGCATTAATATATTAGCGTACCTTATAAGGACCGAGTACTACTACAGTACAAAATTGTGCCGTGATGACCGATGTTTGACAGTGTCTGGTCTGTTACTTTATCATTTGAACATTTTAACCTCCTTTGTTTTATTTTATTTTATTTTGTTTGTTTATTTTTTTTATTCGATTTTTTTTTGTTTCATTCTGTTCTATTTTATTTTTCTCTGCCTTCTTATCAGAAAAATTAAAAGGAATGACCGAAAGCCTGAAGAGATGAATGAACATTTGTCGTAAGTGAAAAATATAACATGGGAAAATTATAATTTATAACTGATTTTAATAGTTTTTATCTTAGATTTTATTATTTAAGTACAATTTTGCTGTTTTTCTTAAAAAAATAGGACTGAAGGAAACCAAAGCTCTTGTAAACTGGCATGCTTCTGGCGACGCCACCTTTCACAGGAGATGCTGGGTAGAATTGACTGAGAAGTGCAAACGGACGGAAGATGGCGTTAGTGCAGAGGAGATCAAAATGATAAAAGAGGCAAAGAAAACGGCAGAATATTTTGATTGTGATGAGAGAGTGAAGTCGGAAGCGAAGAGGGTGTCTCAAATGATAATGACCTCCAGCCACTGTATAGCTTTTACAGGTGCGTGGAAATAGTCGGTGAACTTATTTTTTTTTTACAGAATGTATATTCTTTGAAGCATTTGTAGGCGTATACTGGCACTGTACATATGCCGTATCCAGCCACTGTTCGCGCCATGAAATCGCGGCTCGAGTCATTAGTTCGGCGTTCGCAACCACAAACGAAAATTTCGTTTTTAAGGCCTGTTTCGGAGATATGTGAGATAACCTGTTGCATTATTTTTATTCATTTTACTCAACTTTCATCATTTTTACGCTCTGCATTGTTAACTACATAGCAGCGAATGATGTTTTTTAGCGTTAATACTGTAACAAACCATCCTGAGCGTTCCAGAACAGTTTTTACTTATTTCCTTATATTGTTTCAGGTGCTGGAATCTCTACCTCTGCTGGGATCGGTGACTTTCGGGGTAAAACTGGGAAGTGGACGGAAAAAGACAGGGCTAAGGCAACAGGTATTATTAAGTCTATTTTCAGTTGCTTAGGCATCAGGTATTATTAAATTTTTATACTGAAAATTGCATGTGTTTACCTATTCACTTTTCGACCTGTCATTTAAATGTATAATTGACGTTCACCCCTATTAATTTTCTTTCCGCCAGGCAAGCCTACGAAAAGCAAAGGCAAGCGTCCCAAAGGAAACAAAGGGGTGATATTTGAGAACCTGCGCCCTACCTACACCCACGAGGCTCTGTGTAAACTGCTGCAGATGGGTCTCCTAAGATACGTAATCAGCCAGAACACAGACGGACTGCACAGGTGAGGTGTCCACGTATAGCCATGCCATGCCATATTTTATTGATACCCTCAGGTGAGGCAGACCTTTCATGTATATCCATGCCATGCCCAATTTTATTGATACCCTCAGGTGAGGCAGACCTTTCATGTATATCCATGCCATGCCCAATTTTATTGATACCCACAGGTAAGGCAGCCCTTTCATGTATATCACTGTCATGCCCAATTTTATTGATACCCACAGGTGAGGCGACCCATCCTCGAATATTTATCTCTCGAACTATAAAGATATACATGGCAGGTCTTTGCCCCAAGACTAATTTCAAGAAGAGAGTTTTTCATCGAATTATACCAATTAGGACTTTATTCCTTTTGTTTCTTGTACAGGCTCTCAGGGATTCCCAGAGACAGTATATCAGAGCTTCATGGGAATTCGTTTCACGAGAAGTGTGAGAAGTGCGGCGCCCGTTATGAGCGTCCGTACCGCGTTAAGTCCCGCATGGAGAACGTTGTTCCTAAGAAGTGTAAGAACTGTCGGATCAACCACAGGACAGGGCGAAAGTGCGAGAGAAAGGTGAGCGTTTGAAAACAGCTGTATTTTGGGGAATTTAGGGGTCATCCATTTTTATAATCATTTGCACAGGAGTGGACTTTTTTGAGACCCTTCTCAATTCAGAGAGTCCAAAGTGTAAAGCTAATATTATGAACCCTGCAATTTGGATCATCATTTTTCTTATTTTTCAAAAAAGTATAGATTTTATTACCCTCAACCCCTTGGGTATGGTTTGTGAAACTGATTTAAATGGTTGACCCCTAAGTACATGTAGGCTCACCTAAGACCGTGAAGTTAATAAAACATACGTACACTGTACACACATACACTCGTGCTAATAAGGTGTCGTCGTGTCGTCGCGCTTTAATTCACGAATTCGGGACTGGTAAAATGATCTGGGTCATTCTTTCGTTCCAGGGATGTGACGGTTACTTAATGAACACAATCATCAACTTTGGAGACGACTTGGAAGATGAGCCCATGGACCGCGCCTCTGAGCATGCGCAGAAAAACGACTTGGTACTTTGTCTGGGGACATCGCTTACCGTGTCACCGGCCAACGAGTTGGTCGAAGAGGGAAAGAAGCCGGTTCGGATGTTGATTTGTAATAGGTACATGTCAGTGTGCCCACTTGTTCCCAGAATATATTGCTTTAAAATGCAAATGACTCGGAAAACATGGTCAGAAAATTTCGCCAATTTATCTAGTCCTACTACTAAGTATTATTTATTTCTCGAACTATAAAGAAAGGAAGTCAAGTTCCCCTCCCATCTCTCGTTTCTTCTTCTTCTCTTCTCTCTCTCCGTCTCTCTCTCTCTCTCTCTCTCGCTCACACACACACACACACACACACACACACACACACACACACACACACACACACTTGAATACTAGTAATTTCCTTTTGTCATCTTGGTGTATTTCAGGCAACCAACGGACTTTGATCCCATGTGTTATAAAATTAACTCGGAAACAAAATCCCAGGTCGGTTCCAGGGTGTTTGGAGACTGTGATCACCTAATGAGAGAGGTCATGAAGTGCATTCTACCCCAGGATGCATTGCAGGAGTGGGAAGATGGGCGGGAGGACCGGATGGAAGAATATAACAAACAGAGAGAGTCTGTAGATTAGATGAGAGTGAAACGAGGTTCATCGTTTGAAGACGTTTTGCAACCCGCCACTCCAAGCAAAATTTTGAGTTCTGATGATATCTCAGTGCATGCAGTTTTTTGTGCAATATCAATGTTTATTCGTTTTATTTTTCGTCATTATTATAATTTTTGATGTGATTGCGGTTTTTGTTATTATTACTATTATTATGAAAATATGTCAGTTTTGTGCTCCATAATAAAGTACTAATATGGTTGTATGAAACTTTTTGGGCAAAAAAATAAATCACCCTTCATTTTTCTTTTTTTAACATTTGTACTGTCGTTTGGCATAACATTGCAAAGTGATCGCCGTCAATCAGAAATATTTTTTTAATAAATTACTGTGAACAATGTGCAGTACTGATTGGAAAGTACTAGTGTGTTGAATGGCAGTGTCCACTGGGTTTTCTTGACCTATTTTCCGCACTCTACATCTTTAATATATATATATATATATATTTTTTTTTTTTTGGGGGGGGGGGGGGTCATACCGAATTATGGCTTTAGTCTTCCCTGTTCATGAACTAATGTGCAGGACGGTATAAAGTTAAAGACCATATATCATGAAAAGGTGAAAAACCAAGTTTAGACAAGGTCATGTTGCATGAAAAATTTAATATTATTATTATTATTATTATTATTATTATTATTATTATTATTATTATTATTATATAAATATATAGAAAAGCACAACACATTCCATTTGAGCTGTCAGGGCCGTTGGCTGCGGAGAGGGGGTGGCACGGCGTGTGCACCGACCCCCCTCCTCCCCCAGATTATTGAAATAAAATTTTGGGGTTCTGTATGTAAAGACTTTAGTCTTTTCTATCATGAACTTGAACAGCTCCCGACACCCCACCCTAGCATTTCCTTTATCCTAAGACACTGACCTTGTGCTGTACATAAACATACTGTAAACAACACCAAGACAAATAGCTCTCAAAACACGTAACTCTCCTTTTACTGGTCGTTGAAATACTTCAGCCTTACCTTTACAGACAAATCCTTTACCTCTCTCTCTCTCTCTCTCTCTCTCTCTCACTCTCTCTCTACTGTATATATCATTTATATTTATGCAATAAAGAGATTTTACGAGAATCTAAGAAGAAATACTGTTGTTATGTACCAGTATTATCTGACGTGTAGAAACCACAGCTACATTTAAGACTAAAATGTGACGTAACGAATGACGTAACAAACCGCGTCACCTGGGTCAGAGCCATGCTCTGGAAAACATTTAAGCAAGGCTCGTCATAGTTGTGAGGCAGTGTCATATTTAAATATTTAAATGCACTGTGGTTACTAGACAGGTAACTTTTTGTCAAACCTATATTGATATCCAAAGAAAAGTACAGGAACTATTTCACACACACGCGCAAAAAA